AACACCTGTTTTGTTGCCAGAAAAAAGGGGAAAACCTATTCTCATATTTTGGTACTTGCAAAGGAGGTCCCATGATGTAGCTTCTTAAACACATTAAGGTATACGAGGGATGTGTTACAGCGTATAATTCATGTACGATTCAAGATTTTATTTTTGGCCCGTTTGCCCGTATATATATTTTGCATAACCACCAAATACTTGATTTTTACACAACAAGAATTTAATGAACCATTAAAAAACATTCAATGTAAGTGGATGAAAATAAATAACCATGATTAACCATTGTTTATCCACTGCTAGATGAAGACCACCCACACCACTGCCATCCCTCACCATAATGATAATACTTCCATTTTATGTAGCATTATTCATATAAATAGCATTCCATATCGCTGTACATTAATTATATATAAGGACCAAATCCCATATACAGCCACTTGCAATCAAGCAAAAACCTTACTACTACCACCAAGCAAATTAAAATTTTTATAAACAATTTAAAAAAAACGGCACCAAAACAAAGCCTCTCGTTGCTGAGCATAAGCTGATCTCACCCCTCCATCTCTATGGTGGTAGGTCTCTTGGGCATGTTATCGCCTTTCGCTGCCATTCCATAACCAGTCTTGACCATCGGTCATCACCTTTCTAGCAGTGTCTTGCTCAAGCTCACTCCCTTTGCTGCAATTTAAATAAACCTAAAAAATAACCGATATCTGTATACGCTTTGTTCAAGTATTGGGATCGGATTTCTTGGTTAAACTTCCAAGGTTATGCAAGACATTTCCTGCATGTGGCAATTTCATATCAAGGTGATTTTATTAAAAGTCAGCTTACTTTCGCGTCAAAGGCAGGTGTTGAAAGTACCCACTGAATACTCTTTGGTTCTTTCGGAAAAGTCACGAAGTTAGAAAAAAAATAAAAAACAAATCACGACGTTTCTGGCACAACACAAGCGTCCGTTACCCACTGAAAATTCTTCAAGATCAATGTACAAATGCCTAACATATGGGACTTAATTGCTATTTGAAGATACACCACAAACACGCCACTATCGGTCTCATCATCCCATGCTCAGTGTTCACATGATGATCACATGCACCAGCATGCCATGCAGTCATCCATACGGGGGTTATTTTATAACACCACATACCTTACCAGCGCACTGCTAAGTCCTTCAATAATAACAGTAACGATTGATAGCCCATTGTCAATCAACTGATGGGTGACGACCTCCCTATGCCTTGGCGGTCACGTGGGCTTTTGACCATACTTCACGATGCGGGTAGGTGTATTGGTTAAAAGGGAGGGGGGCCCAACGATATTACCTACCATCGAAGGCTCTTTCTTACTTCACCTCAAAGTCTGATACTTTAATAACATGCACCTATGGCACACGCTGGCTTGCATCGAATGCGTTTTCTCTGGGAACTCTGCTTCTCCACCCTTAACCCAACATTGACCAAACATCCCGAGCAGGCCCTTCATCGCAAAGCCTTGAGGCTCGGTGAGACCTGTCTGGATAATGTGAAATTGCCATCTAGTAGAGTGTGTGCTCGTGTCTCCATGCGCTCTTGACCATTTACACTATACAGTGAGGGAAAAAAGTATTTGATCCCCTGCTGATTTTGTACGTTTCCCCACTGACAAAGAAATGATCAGTCTATAATTTTAATGGTAGATTTATTTGAACAGTGAGAGACAGAATAACAACAAAAAAATACAGAAAAACGCATGTCAAAAATGTTATAAATTGATTTGCATTTTAATGAGGGAAATAAGTATTTGACCCCTCTGCAAATCATGACTTAGTACTTGGTGGCAAAACCCTTGTTGGCAATCACAGAGGTCAGACGTTTCTTGTAGTTGGCCACCAGGTTTGCACACATCTCAGGAGGGATTTTGTCCCACTACTCTTTGCAGATATTCTCCAAGTCATTAAGGTTTCGAGGCTGACGTTTGGCAACTCGAACCTTCAGCTCCCTCCACAGATTTTCTATGGGATTAAGGTCTGGAGACTAGCTAGGCCACTCCAAGACCTTAATGTGCTTCTTCTTGAGCCACTCCTTTGTTGCCTTGGCCGTGTGTTTTGGGTCATTGTCATGATCCATTTTCTGCCCTGGCTGAGGGAAGGAACTTCTCACCCAAGATTTGACGGTACATGGCCCCGTCCATCATCCCTTTGATGCGGTGAAGTTGTCCTGTCCCCTTAGCAGAAAAACACCCCCAAAGCATGTTTCCACCTCCATGTTTGACGGTGGGGATGGTGTTCTTGGGGTCATAGGCAGCATTCCTCCTCCTCCAAACACGGCGAGTTGAGTTGATGCCAAAGAGCTCCATTTTGGTCTCATCTGACCACAACACTTTCACCCAGTTGTCCTCTGAATCATTCAAATGTTCATTGGCAAACTTCAGATGGACATGTATATGTGCTTTCTTGAGCAGGGGGACCTTGCGAGCGCTGCAGGATTCCAGTCCTTCACGGCGTAGTGTGTTACCAATTGTTTTCTTGGTGACTATGGTCCCAGCTGCCTTGAGATCATTGACAAGATCCTTGCGTGTAGTTCTGGGCTGATTCCTCACCGTTCTCATGATCATTGCAACTCCACGAGGTGAGATCTTGCATGCAGCCCCAGGCCGAGGGAGACTGACAGTTCTTTTGTGTTTCTTCCAATTGCGAATAATCGCACCAACTGTTGTCACCTTCTCACCAAGCTGCTTGGCAATGGTCTTGTAGCCCATTCCAGCCTTGTGTAGGTATACAATCTTGTCCCTGACATCTTAGGAGAGCTCTTTGGTCTTGGCCATGGTGGAGAGTTTGGAATCTGATTGATTGATTGCTTCTGTGGACAGGTGTCTTTTATACAGGCAACAAGCTGAGATTAGGAGCACTCCCTTTAAAAGTGTGCTCCTCATCTCAGCTTGTTATCTGTATAAAAGACACCTGGGAGCCAGAAATCTGATTGAGAGGGGGTCAAATACTTATTTCCCTCATTAAAATGCAAATCAATTTATAACATCTTTGACATGCGTTTTTCTGGATTTTGTTGTTGTTATTCTGTCTCTCACTGTTCAAGTAAACCTACCATTAAAATCATAGCCTGATAATTTCTTTGTCAGTGGGCAAACGTACAAAATCAGCAGGGGATCAAATACTTTTTTCCCTCACTGTATATTGTACAAAAATGAAACGCGTTCATCAATAACATTGCCATTAAAGGAAAAGTATATGTAGGTGATGTGTTGGTCAATGGCCCTTCTTGATACCATTTAGGGGCCAGAGATGAGAGTTGGAGACTATTTTACAACATGGAGCCAAATGAGAATAACATTTTAGGTTTCCTGATTATTTTTTATGAATATGAAAATAGTTACATATTAGTAGCTAATGAATAACAGACAAATATTTCAGTAATCCAACATGTATTACTCAAACTCATTTGTAATAAAAGCAAAAGTATACAGTGTTGGTGGTACATTACATGATATATATGCTTTCTTTAAAGGCAGTGTCATTGATTAACGCGTTGAGTTTCATATTATTTGTGCTTGCGCGCCACTGCCTATGCATAATCACCAAAACATGTTGCTAATATATAGTCAAACTACTCTTATTAAAATGTGATGCAAGAGGTGACAGGGACATATCCACTTATCAGGGTTTATCTACACAAATTGCTCCTTTTATCCATGCAGCAAGGTTCGGATAAATACGGATGATCGGATCAATGTATCACCACCTCTGGATCATTCCTCTCATCTGCACAAAGGCACGGGGGAACAAGAGGAAGAATCGGCACATGGAAAATTATGGCTCACGCAAATAAAGACGACGAACAGAGAGAAGCTGGATACAAGCATGCTTAATATAAATAAGCAACACGCTCACATTGTGCCCGCAAGGGAAAGGCAAAGGGAAACGGCTTCTACAGTGATTGGAAACGAAGGCTTCTTTCACTTCCATTGTGTACGTCGACAAAGACTGTAACAAGTGAGAGGGACGTCGGCGTTGCAATGCAACAACAAAAAACCCCCCAACAAATATTGAAACTAAATCCATAAATGCTTTCCAAACCTGTTTCCACAGAGGCATCTGTAAGAGGGGGTAAAAACATGTGCTGGCAATTGACAGTGGAGCAAACCACCGTTGGATGGAGCGAGGTGGGGGGGGTGTTCTGAGTTTGAGACAACGCCTCGTGATGTACATGTGTTTGAACTCGCAAAGCCAAGCACGTGTTCTAGCCTGCCTCTGCCATGAGACACTCTTTGGGGTTTTTTTTTTGTAAATAAAAAAAACAAGTACACCAGCAGCCGGGGCACAGACTTTAGAAGTTGGGGGTGTTCAACTAGCAAATGGTTCCTGAGTGGATTTCAGACAGGATCCGTGAAGTTCACTTCCCTCTCCCCACCCCCACCTTGTCATAGGTAAAATGAGTTGTGCTCAACTATAACGAAACTACACATCTACTAAACTACTGGCTACTGCCCGACTACCGAGCCAACTATTTGTGCTATTTGTGCGCTACTGGCGTAAAGGTTTCGTCATCGACATAATCCGAATTTTACATCACCTTGTTGAAGAGAGAAAAACGCAGACTCAAAAACGCCGTGTCCCAAATGTGGAGTGGGTGTCCTCTTAGCGATATCAAAAAACCATTGAGCGTGTCTGGCCATTCGGCAACAACCGCAGTGGCTTGACCCGTTCCCCCAGCAGCACTGAACGAGTCTCCATGGCAAACGCAAAGTCTTCACTCGCAGGCACACGCCAGGTGCTCTCATACACCTCATCTCCAGCCCCCTCTCAGCAGGCACCATGTGCCACGTTATTTCGGCACGTGGTTTGGAATTGAACTCAGGTCCTTGGAATTGTCGTACATTATGGTAATCTTCACAGCGGGACTCCATCGACACAAAGACGCATTTCACAAGAGCCCTTATCAATCTAGCCATGCTGTTGGCGGTAGCGCCGTCAGTGAGCGCCTATTATAGCTGGAGAAGCTCACCACGGGGTGCAGCCCGCATCACACCAGGCAGCGCCTTTCTCTCCAGCCCTGCTGTTGACGCAAAGCACAAGGTTGTCATTTACAGGCGGAGTTGACCGATGGTTAGGCCCACGCCAATAGCGGACGCCAATTATCACCGATGTTCGCTGTCAGGAACCAAACCAGCGTAACCGGTCATTGCGATAACGATAAAGACAATGCTCCCACAACCCAAGCACACATACACAAAACCATTGTGTAATATTTGACAGTGCTGCAAGATCATTATAATGAAGATTAATGTCTTTTATTTACCCAGAAAGCCCCTCGTCTCGAAGGAGATTTTTTTTCCAGGAGGATCATGCATTAGAAGATTTGGCCGATTACATTAATGAGTAATTGCCACGTGAATGTGTAAATGTCAATACAAACGTTCTAGTATATATTTCACTAAATAATACAATTCCAAAAGCAGGACTCTTGAAACTCAATAACGCTTAATTTTGTTCATACAAAAATAACTGCCATGTCAGAATACTTGCCTACAACTTCAAAGCAAATGCAATTCATAAGCACAGAATAAAACGAATCTGGTCTTGCGCATAGCTTTAAAAATCTATCCAAGGTTTACCTATTGGAGGGATTTCATCCACTGTGTTGGCATACCTGTCAACCTCTTATCAGTGCCTACCTTATTACAGACCAATTCAGACCTGATTGGTCACCCCGTGCCCCTTATAAATCTCAACGTTCATCCTACAAAACCATCACAAGGAAGAAACGCAAAACAAAGACAAAAATTTGTTCTTTTGCCCGTATTGAAACGTCTGTACGCCGTCTGGACCTAAAAACAATTTCCATATACAAGAATACGAGTAAAGCGTATGGGTTGGCAAGTATTTGTTGGTAATGGGGCTGTTTTCTGACCATACTTCACACTTCTCAGTACTCGTTGGTGAACCGGGGGGCATGCCCAGGATTGGTTCAATAAAAAAAAATCACCACCAAGGTTAGCCGTGGCCACGAATGAACCTCAGGTCACCGGGTTTAAAGCCCAGTGTGCCAACCGCTAATGCTACCACTCTACCCAGCTCGACACATGTACAGGTTTGTGTTAATACATGGCAAATACTGCGTCGCATAAAGACATTGTCGGAACAAAGTTCGCACTTCCATTTGTCAGCAAGATTGAGCCCTTAAGTTCCACTGACCCAGACATAAAAAGTGTGTGTTTGTAAAAGTGGCAAGGGAAATAAAAGGGGAATTGGTTTATTCAAGTGCAGAATGCCAATGTATTAGTCAAAAAACTTTCCTCAAATCACTTTGATAATTTTCTTACATGTAGTATGAAATCGCGAGTATTCAATTCATTGTTATTGACCTATGCAGATTTGATTTAAGTCTCATATACAGTCAAATGGATAGACAAGGTCTTGTCATCGGATTGTGGAATTTCCATCGCTGGCTCAGGCCACTTACAGTGACAAGCACCACGAGACGCTCATTTATATTCAGCTAAGCCCTTGGTGACTTTAATAACGTCATACGGTACATATATACATTGGATTACACCGCGTCCTTTTACGTCAATTTTAAACGTACCGTACAGCGACGCTTTATTTATGCCCATCCAACACCAACATCGATAGATTTCTTGGAGATGCATACATCGCATCTAGCGAGCACGGCTCACCAGCAGAGTTGCATTCGCAACCAATTGACTGAGGTCATTATGCTTTTGGGGATGGTTGGCAGCCAATATCAATAATTATTAAAACAGAGCAACTTGGAGCGAACATTAAACTTGGCAACACCATCGTCCATACTTGCGTTACCAACGAGCTCCAGATGAGACGAACAAAAAAATGGGTGGCGTATTTGGGGGGGGGGGGAGCATTCTGCGGATCTCTCTGCTTGGAGAGCAAAAGCAAAAGCATGCCGGCAACAAAGGCAGTCACTTTCCGCTCGGCTGATTAAATGAAGCCAAGACCTTGGCATGCGAAGTCGTGCCACCCAGAGGGTGAATTAATAAAGCGCTTGGTTTGCGAGTCACACGACCATCACACGGTAGTGATGGCTCAGCTCATGCGTCTTCAAAACACAACTTGTTTTTGGTCTCATTTGGACAAAGCTTAACTGTTAATTATTATTGGCGAGACAGTTAGGGGGCACCACGCATAGGCTGATCAAGTCACGAGGCCACAGAGAACAACAATGTTTCGCTTTCTCGGGCTGTTGGACGTTGTACTTTGCCACAAGTGTTCGAGTTAAAGCCCTTTACAAAAATGCCAGTGGCTTGCACATTGCACACATACCAAACGGCAGCTCCTGCTTGGTGAAATATTTGTACAGCTAATATAAATGTATCAGATGTTTTTTTTATTTTCTAAGACAAAGGCTTGGGTTGAAGGCAAATCAGCAAACAAGTGGCTGGAGATACGATTCTTACAAGTACTGAGGGACAAGCATTCAAAAACAAGTGGGGTTGTTGTAACAGAGGGCATCAAAGGCTTTTAATCAAGGTATTGGCAAACAAAGTGACAGATAAATAAAAGTACATTATTTTTAACTGCCTTGACTTATTTGACATTGGAAGATTGTACATTGTTTTATGAAGCCTTGTTTTGTAACACGGTGGAATACTGATGCCAAAACAAAAAAAACATGCCAAAAATTCTTCTGTTGATTTTAAATAAAGATCAGCCTTTGCAACCAACATCATATTACATCGGGGCTTACACTAGTCACCCTCTGTGTGCATCATAAATCCCTTAAATGTTTACTTAATCTTTGAGGGGTTTTTTGCTTTTATTTACTTTTATTAAAAACAAGCCGGTTTGTGGAAAGAGCATCTGAAGGGGTCTGTTTACTCTGTTTTCACAAATCTCAGCATATCCAGCGTGAGCAGGCATCTGGCAGAACTAGAAGGTTTAAAAAAAGGACCCAAGTCACCGGCAACTGAGCCGCACCCGAGCAGAGTAGAGCGACATTTAATTATTAGGTTACTGCTACTGGATCTGTGTCTAAATTTACTAAGTATGCCACATTTGCCATACATTCTGTAGCTGGATGTTGGGCTCTTTTGCATTCTTAATAGCAGTGGAATGACATTTTTTCACAAGCCAAGCTGGCCTCTATTTTCACACTATTAAATTAAATTGACATTTTAACAACAACCCCCCATTTAATTCTGGAAAGTTCTCAACTGGGAGAATGCAGGATTTGTTTGTTTTATTTATTTATTTATACCCATGACTTAAGTTATTTCAAATATCACAGGAACCTTCGTTTCTTGGAAAAATACACTTCCCGATTGACTCTATAAATAAAGAGTGACATACGATGCATCCGTGGGTTCACAGAAATCCCGAGCTGTCTCTTAAGCACCCACATCACCGACCACTGCGGCAGGCAGGTCCGTGCACTCAGTAGTCCTTCCCACAGCTCGGCTTATGACCAAATTACTGGAAAGCCCCCCCCTCCGTCCCCACCAGCCCCGATCCTCAGTATAATTTGTCTATAATTTGCGGTAAAGGCTGGCACTCCAGCACTCGTGTTCAAAAAATTCCCCTTTCTGGCAATAACATAGCACAGTGGGCTGATTATACTTTCTCACAATTTGCACAGCTAAGATGGGGGGGGGGACCCTTTTAAAATGCATGAAGCATTGCCATGGCCGTGTTTTTCATCTGCTCTGCCCTGCCTGAGGTCAGGAACAACTTAAGAGATCACAACGATGTGCTTTATTAAGAGCAAGACGTCTGCCGTTTTCCATCTACCCCATGGGGCTCTGTGGGCTGGAGGGGGGACAAGAAAACTTTTAGGGCTGTCTGCAAAAAATGTCAATCAAGATTTTTTTTCAGCCAGCTATTTTCACAAGAGCACACATATAGCCCACCCCCCCCCTGCAAAAGCTTCTGTGTGTTGCATACTTTGGTAGTTGATACTTATTAAACATTCAAGCTGCCATACACCAAATGTCATTAGCAAGGAATTATAAACATATCCACATTGAAATGTTTGTCCTCCGTGTTTACATTTTAAGTATGAAAGTTTTAAATCTGGAAATCAATGTGCCAAATGTACTGGACATATCAAGCATCACCGATGTAATTCGGTACATAATTATATACATAAGTGGCAAATATTCCCTGTGTAACCTTATAGAGTGCAACTACTACAGCCAGAGCAGTTATAGTTTGCACCTATACAATACTTGGAGGAACGGCGTAGCCTGCACCACGCATAGCCACCTTTGTAACCCCATTGTTGATTTTGAACACGTACGGGACAATGTTCTCATTTCAGAGGAGACACAGGTCAGGTACAGATATCAATTGCCACTGGGGTGCACGTGGCAGGGAATCGAACCCTGGACCCAGAGAACAGTGCAGTGGACAAAAATACCACGCCACTGCTGGGTGGAGAATTTGCATAAAGGTTTTTTGTGTTAAAGCACGTAAATATAAATGTGTTGTTAAACCCTCCACCACTCGACACAGCCAATTGGTAAAATTTGTTAAGAAAAAGTGCCAATTAGTTATTACTTCAGCACACCGGTGTGTTGAGAGATAGAGAAAGATCCCTGTTTAACATTACAGAACATAGAGGAAAGTGATGTTGGCAAACACCTACTAGGCTAGCACAGGAGGGCATGTTTCGCCAGCATCACGTAATGCAGAGTTGCTAACCACGATGCTACCACTCCTCACACATTCCCTGTAAAAGCCATACAGGCTACTGGCACGAATGCTGGTCTTGAGCACCTACAACAACCGATAGGTTAAACCAGGGGAATTGTAGCCAGAACCACTCCTGACCACCTTTGTCTCATCAGTGCTGATGTTTACGGGAATCGAACTCGGGTTGTCGGGTTTGTAGCAAAGTGCAATACCACTGTGTCACCACTATCCAAATACAAGGACAAAAAAATATATTATTTTCTGTGTAGCCTACAGAGGTTGTTGCGGAAAGCGCTATTGACGAGCAATAAGGCTAGCACATCGCACGATGGTGTGGTGCAGCCAAAAACATGCTCGGTTGCCTTTGTTTCTTCAGTACTGATGTCTATACACCTGCACCAGGCCATCAATTAAGGCAGAGTCTTCCTTGTGGAGGTCCAGAACTGGTTCAGATAATCACAACCGATGTTGGCGGTGGCCAGGAATTGAACTCGGGTTGTGGGGGTCCATCATGCAGCGCGGTAACTTCCACACTTACCGGCTCCCCAAAAACAAAGGACACACACACACAGACATGTGTGTGGGACAGAGGGGCTGAAGCTGCGTGTAATAATCATTCCCATGTCCTCACCGGCAAACTGGCTCCTCCAGACCATATCGGCAGCGGCGGCAGCGGTGAGCGCGGCGCCGTTGGCTGGTGGCGGCGTCCCCTTGAGGGGGTCGTGCTCGCTTCGCATGATGTCCAGCAGCGAGGTCTCCAAGGCCTGCATGCTCAGCGGGTCGAAGGGACGGCCGCGGTCCTGCACACGGCACGGCAGGAAAAACCACGCCAGTTTAAAAACGTCGCGTTGGTCGGCACGGAGCCCTGGTGCACCAAATTAAATGGACCGTCCACTCTGTTCAATTTCCCCTTCTCCTCGTAGCACGACGGCTCGGTCACTCTGGCCAGTGGGGTCTAGCGCAGCAGTTACACCGCCTGAACACTTGCCAGCTATGTCACGGAGCACATGCCCAAGGCAGGAAGGAGGTGACCAAGTGGCTCTGAGCTCTGTGCCGAGTGGACACTGCTACAATTCTGGGTGTGAATAATGGCTTTGAGCTGCCCATTATTAAAACTGGTTTTCTCAAGTGTAGTGAGTTGATGTTATCAGTCAGATACTAGATAGCAAGTCTTATACATATATTGTAACAGCCGAGTTACAGCAGATGTGTCTCAGTGGAGAGATAATTCTCATTAGCAATCCATTCTCATGGCAAGAGCCAGTCTCGCCATAGGATTACCACAGACGTACACACACATATTGTGTATACACCCAACACTTGGGTGTACTGTATACACATTATGTACTGCTCCATGCCATGATCATTGAAGGTAAATGAGCTATTTGAGCATAACACCAACTAGTATAGACAATGATTTCCGGACTAATAGAAAAGGCTATTTTACAGCATTAAACACGGGTTTGCCAGGAGTATTTAATGCAACATGATGGCTATTGTACTAAAGGTGAAACAATTAATCCCGTTGCACCCCAGCTCCATGAGGATTTGATTAACTAATAAACATTGTAGTCAACTGTGGCACCTCTAGCGGCTGCAGGGGTGCCACACACCCACTCCATCCAAAAAAGATGAATCTAGAAAAAAGCGACTCTTACACGCATGCATAAGTTAGCTTAAGAATTTGTATTCATTGATTAATCCTCACATCGTCGCATTGTTCTGCCCCGAAGCAACACGCATCAGACATTGTATGAACTGATTGTACCAACGCTCTTGAAAGCGAGCACAGACTCTAGGGCATCATGCCATACAATTAGCAACCACACCGATTTTAAAACCAGACTTTCAACAACAGCAGCGTTAAATGGCGTCATGCGATTGCTGCTATTATGTCCTGACTTGTTCAGATGTAATATAAAGTGGCTGGTAATGGGGCGATGGCTAATTATTTTATTATTCTAAAAAAAATCTCCATTCTGCTAATTATCAGTCAACATGGCACACACTAAGCAAACAGCTGGGATATTATCAGAACGAAAACAAAAGTAGAATGGCTGATGTCTGTTAACCCTGCCAACTGTAAATAAAGCCGAGCCAGACATTACTCAGAGAACCATAACGAATAACACACCGGCACTAATGATCTGCTCACTTTATATTGGGATTGGGCAAGCGAATAAGATGTGCGGCCAAAACAGCCTGGAAGCCAGTGTAGGAATTTCAAGCATTGACGGTGGCCGAAATCAATTGCAACCCCATCATCACCAAATGATTAAAACTACATTACAACAACACAAAGTCAGTGACTGCACCCAACCAATTGTGAGCTAGGAATATAAGAAATCCTTTAGCTATCTGCTGCAAATAGCCGGAGTCTCATTGTGTCCTTCACGGTCCATATACAGAAATAGAGACTCGCGAACGCTGCTCAAGGGTGGCCTTTTGTCAAAGCTCGGGTGCTGCTGGGTAAATTTAGAATGCAAGTTTGTCTCCTCCAATCGGCAACCAAAGTATAAAATGAAACTTTGGCTGTAAGGTGACATCTTTGCTGTTTTTTTACACTTGGCAGCAAAGATGAAAAATTATTCAGAAATCGAGGCAAGGTCAAACATAAAGGGCAGTGAATGAGTGAAATACTGTTACTGCTTGCGTCTGGAAAACTCTAAAAACATACGATTGTGTTTCACAAACAAATTTGACTATTGTGTAAACAGAAATTGGCGAGTTAAGGTGGTTTATAAGCCTTAATTTAGCATTGGTCCCGACAGACAATAGGAAATGGGTCAGGCAACAATAAAAAAAAGTAGCCATTACATCACCCGAAAATGTCACGCTCATCAACTCGAGTCAATCTAGCGCTTTTCTGTTCGTACATGTTAGACAGCAATTTTTTTTTCTTTTCGAAGCTGCAATAATTGTACAAATCACACAAACACTCCACACAAACCCAAATCACGCAACCAAATGCTCTCGGTTTTCACCGTCCTCCAATTTAATTCGCAGCGTGCAATATGATTACATGACGACAGCATTAAAACGCAGGTGTCCTAATTGTGCCAAAGCTGACTTGTTCATCCCCTGCCTAACATCACGGCGAATTGCGGCCTCGTTTAGCTTCTGCAGTCGAGGCGCAACCCAGATTTCAGCCAATTGGGACCCCTTTCCAAACTCCCATGTCTCCAACCCCTCCCAAAACTAATAAACAGTGGTCCCTTCCGTAAATGGGTTGCCATCTGCTCAAAACTCCTGCCCAATCCATCCCTGAAAAAAGCTGGCATCTCGATGGCAAACGTGCCGAAATAACCATTCCATTTTCTACGTGGCTAACATGTTTAATTCCACTAAGCATTTGATGTAAACTGAAGTTGTGTGAATGTATACAATGTAAGTATTTCCATCGTTACTAAAACTACCTGTGCAAAATAACAATCTGTATTTTGTAAAATTTGCATACACATTACTGTATTTAAACTAGTTTGATTATATCATTCAAAAACCTGCAGCAGATTTCAACAATGTCTGGAGCGACAGAGAAACCACACGCAGCACCTTGTTGTCTTTGTAGCCATACAACTTACAGAATTGGATGGGCTGATTTAAACTAATTGGGTTGTGGCCCTAACAGCAACTCATTATCAGAGTACAAAACCCTACGGATAATGTGTGCACAATTTTGGTATTCGCATCGCCACTCCCTTGAGGCGCCATCCCCGACACAACTGTTCGCCTAATTAGTGGCTTGGTTTCACTTAAAATGTTCTGCTTATTTGCAATAGTACCCAATACAGTGTTTACACTTGACCATTCGAGCACCAGTATAGAAAAAAGGGCCATTGAAATACGTTGCATTTAACGCAAATGTCTGTACAATTCATAAGTTGTTTGAAACGAAATTCCTAAAAACACAAAATGTAAAAGGGCCATTTCCAATAAGGCATTTCGAGTTAGAGACTACCATAACACTAAATGTATTAATTTATACAAACAACTCTCCAGTATGAAAGACACATTCTCACAGCAGTGCCGATGTTATTTAACAGCCCAGAACTGGAGAGTAACGCTCGCAAACAATTAGGATGTTCAGAGGCATGGGATCAGCAATTGCATGCAGATGAGCTCACTGGAACTGTACCGATAACCCAAACGCCTCTGGGTCAATGACCACCGGTCCAGGCACTCTGAATGCATTTAAATGGCCTGGGCGTGTGGGTGGGTGCAGGTTCATGTCTCATTCAAGACTGTGAAACCCAATTCCCGAGCCATATGGGGAGGAGCGGTTGTGCAGTGGGAGGCACATTGCACGACACAGCGATTAGTTCGATTCTCAGCAACAGCCAGTTATGTCAGCTGCGAGTGATATCTGAACCAGTTCTGGACCTCCTTCACCAACCCCCACTTCCCTGCGTGGTTAAATACGCTCAAATTATTGACAGCATAGGGAGGCCTTCATACAACCGTGCGCTGCCAAGGCATGTAAACGATCTATAATATATAGTACAAAATGCTGCAATATTGTAAAGATGCTAATAATAACTACGTGTCACTTAATAGTGGTTGAACACCTCCCTGAGCCATGCTGGAGAGTGCGGGTTCGTGAAGGGGGACGACAGGGCCGGTTCAGATATTAATCACCACCGATGTTAGCCGTTGCTGGCGATCGAACTCGCTGGGTCCAGAGTGCACCATGTACCATCGCTTCACCCCCTGCCCACCCCCCAATGTATTTTCGTAACAATAATAATACGGACAGCTAACGCATTATTAGTTTCCTTGCATCGTATATGCTGTCACAAGCCCAGGGCTGTCACCATCCTTAAACAAGTCCTGGAGTGGTGCGCTCATATCGGTTGGTGGCTTCGAGCCTGTGGTGGAAATTCCACATCATCATGCCGAGGATCAGTCAGTCTATCAATAGGATGACCTGGGAGTGGTTAATGATGAGTTATAGCGCACGCAATGTTTTTGAATAGAAAGAAAATGGTTGATCAGAACTTGATACAAAGTTCAATTTTAATCGGTTTTCAAAGTGTTCGTTCTAAGAAGGCAGCTGTTTATCTTTGGTAAATAGTGTTGGTTAACTACACGAACACCTTCCTCACTTGTATTTCTCTAAACAGGAAATACATTCATAATACCAAAGGAAGTCGGGGTGAATTGTGATTCAATGCTTTAAGTGGGGTACAAGTTATTTATATGAAAATTTTTACTTAAAACTTTCGTGACTGCAGTAATTCATATTCTTGGTTCTTTCGGTAAAGTCATTTAAATGTATTTTTATATTTTTTTATTTTCTATCTACGTGACTTTTACCGAATGAACCAAGAATATTATGCCAGAATGTGCAACGGGATCGGTGACAGTTCATTTACAGCGACTTCCTCGAGGCAACAAAACACCAAGACACGGCTGCAATGGTTTGGCAAGAGCACTCAATGACAAGCAAAGGGCACACCTGCGTTGCTGCATTGTAGTGCATTGCAAACGCTATGAATTATGAATTTAATGGCATGCATTATTCCATGTTAATTGTGGGGAAGCATCTGTCAAGCTCATTCTCTCGCCCTTCGTGTCTACCCGCTCCATTAACTTCTTTCCATTTTTGGGTCTGGAGTGTACCGGCCCTTGATTTACCCGATCCAATATCGCCAACCGTGACTTTCTACTTAAGGACTATTTCCTGCTCCACGATGATATACATAAAGCACACGTGACGCATTACGTAATTGTGTGTACACACGTGTGTAAGATGTCGTATTTAACTGGGGTGTTTTACCGATCACCTATATTATTCGGCACAAGATGGCAGAAAACCCATCTGCGCTGCCCTTTAAACCATCACGCGCCGCGCACGGAAGGGGGGGATTTGATGGAGCGCCGCTTGTGGAATGCCAGGGCGATTCGCCAATAGAATTCATGGCACGGTCAACATTAAAGAGGGCTAAGTAGCTAAAGCCAACAAACATATATACATCGCGGCTATCGCGACACGAGTGCGCCACGGCCCCAGTCTCCACCTTCGATGGCAGAAGCAGCAACCTCGCGCCTACCTCACTCAAATGCGTGCTTTCTGGGCACACAGGTCGTTTCGACAACAGGATGGATTTGTCGCAAGGCCACACACACACACACGCGCGCGCGCAATACCTTTAGACGTCAAGATTGTTGTTTTTGTGTTGCTATTTTGGCTCGGCGCGTACACACACACACCACACACACACACGAGGAATGCCACGAAGTGGGTGGGGAACGGAGCCATTTAAAAATGGAAGATGCGGGTGGCAACTGGCGGCTTACAGAGACGCGCACCTTTTTATAAACAATATTCTCTGCCCCCGTCTTAATCGACAATCCGTGCACCCCCCCCCCCCCTCTTTGCCTGGTCTGCATTGCTGCAGCTTAAGAGTGGCAGTATGTGTTGGGCAACAGGCAGGCAGCTAGTTGCCTCCTCCCCACCCCCCCCCCCCCACAAAAAAAATGTATGCCCACCAAATGATCATAGCGGGCAGCGAGTGCGTCAAGGCGAGGGCCATTATACCAACCACTCCTTGACGTGTCACTTGCCGAGCAATGATTTAGCAAAACGTCAGCCGCTAAACCACTCCCAACCGCATCGTGTCAGACGTGGCAGGGAACCTAAAGCAGGCGCTGCCATTGCCTCGGCGCTCACATTTTCCTACCTAATTAGCCAAGCGCGTGACGTGGTTCGTGCAGGCGATTGCATAACAGGCTTCACCGTGCAATGATAGAAGTGGATTTCCCTATTCGGGCCAGCTCACTCCAAGAAGACAACCCTGCCTTTCTTGCACTGCATTCGCTTAAGAGGATGACGAATTGGATTGCGGCTGGTGTTAGGGGAAGAGCTAGCCACTCACCTGAAACCTAACCCGCTTGGGCCTCTTAAGTTGGGCAAGGTCGATCAGCTTCCGAATAGGAGGACACTGATCCGGACACAAATAAAGAGCTCGCTTCAGCCGCGTACAACTGGAACTCCCGACGTCCAATTTGTCTACCATTTGCTTTCGCAGTGAAGTCAGCCACTGACCCCCCAAGGGACCCCCAAATACAGAACCCTCGTGACTTCCCTAGTGTGATGGGCAGAAAGGCAGCTGATCGCCCCCACCCCCCACCCAACCATACGTGGAAAAAAAAACCCTTTTAACACAATCTCCCCCAAGCCTGACCATCCACTGGAGAATTCAGGCTTTGACAATGTCCTAGCCGCGTGTGTGTAATTACCTAAAAAAAAATCTGTCTTCCCCCAGCACAATTCACGGGGCCAATTATGCCAAGGCTCGAGGCCATATCCGTAGGCAAGGCAAGCAAATGAGCCCAAATCAGCCGGCACGCTGTCACTATAGCCACCAATGTGTACGCTTCAACGTCTCTCCCATGTTCCCGAGCCACCCGGGTACCTGGAAAGCCAGCAGGCTGGTGGCGTCCCCGCGGTACGCAGTCTCCTCCAGCCACGACTTGGGAGTGGGCACGGGCGAGCGGCTGTACTTGGGCGGCCCGATGGCGCTGTTGCCCGGGAAGTGTTGCTGCTGTTGCTGCTGCTGCTGCTTCTTGAGGGGCGAGATGGGGTTCATGGGCGTCGGGATGCCGAGGCCGCCCGCCCTTCGCGGGTCTCCGCCGCCGCCCACGCCACCCACACCGGCCCCTGCCCGGCTCTGTGGGCCACCCCAGCCGGCAGAGCCACCCCACGGCTGGGGCTGCGGCTGCTGCTGCTGCTGGTGGTGATGATGATGGTGGTGGTTGCCCCAGGCGGACGGCTTGCTCGTCATGATGGGCTGGTGGTGCCCATAGCCTGCGTTGCGCTGGGGAAACTGGCTCTGGAGAGACACGGGGGACCTCCTCTGCTGCTGCTGCTGCTGCTGTTGCGGCGGTGGCGGCGGCTGCTGCTGATGGTGCTGCTGCTGCTGGTGGTGCTGCTGCGGCTGCTGCTGCTGCGGCTGTTGCTGCTGCTGATGATGGTGGTGGTGAGGGGCCAGCGGCAGCTGCGGCGAGAAGCTGGCGCCGAACATGGGGCTCATGCTGGGAGGGAAGTTCTGGAAGAGCACGGCGCCGTTCATGGACGAGAGTCCCGGGAAGATGCCCTCGTCTGCCGCACCCGCTGCCCCTGCTGCCCCGAGGGCGGCGGCCGGGCTGCTCACGCCCGTTGACCAGGCGTTATTGAAGCCCGGGGAGAGGGCGGACGCCGGCTCCTGGAAGCCGGCCAGGCTGGGGAGAATCGGCGACTCCATGTGCGCGGGTGGGCACGGCTCCCTGCTGCTGCTGCCGATGCTGTTGTTGATGCCGCTGTTGCCGAGGTTGTTGCTGCTGCCGCCGCCGCCGCCGCCGCCCACGATGTTGTTGGGGATGGTGTCTCTATTCACAGCAGAGACGGCAGCGCCGCTGTTGTTGCTGCTGCTGCTGTTGCTGCTACTGCCGGTGCTGTTGTTGCCGATGCCTCCGCTGCTGCTGTTGCCACCCGCTATGCCGTCCTCTGCTCCTACTACTGTCACTGCTGCGGATGACTCTGGGACCTCGGGCGGGCCCTGCTCGTGCTGCTGCTGCTGCGCTAGGGTCGCTCTGTCCATCAGGAGCTCATCCTGCATGGCGTGTGACGTGGGACCGGCGGCAGGCAAAAACAAAGCGGCGCTTGGCGAAAGAGGAGCGGGAGGCGAAGGCGGCGACGATGACGACGGCGGCTGCTGTTGCTTGTGCTCTGGTGCCAACGCGACTGCCACTGTCGTCCCTACTACTGCCGCTGCTGTCAGGCTGTGTGTGTGACTCTGCTGCAGGCCGAACGAGAAATCCCCCATCTAGGGTGACATTCACGGGTGTCGGGGCGCCGGGGTGGGGTGGAGGCAGACGGCGACGAGTCGGGCACGATGACTGCTGCACTCTCTGCTTGTGCCCGCTTGCCTGCCTTCCCTACAAGCCAGCCTCTTTGCGCTTCGTCACAGCAGCAGCGGCGGCGGTTGTAGTCGTAGCACAACAACCCACCCGCGCTCGTTCGCTCAAGCCAACCCACCCGCCCCCTCGTTTAAAGATCACCTTGCCCTGCCTGCGTTACAACAGCAGCAGCATCAACACGAGTCGATGCTTCCTGTTCGGAGAGCGGCCGATCCACGTGAACGTGTCTCTCTCTCACTGCTCGCCCCCCTTACTCCCTTAGTCAACTGTAAGCGCGTCGCCGCCGAGTGTAGGACGCGACTCAAGGGCAACGGGCATGCGGACGGGGCTGTATCGCCTGTCTGCTGCTGCTGCTGTTGCTGCCTACTACTGCTGCTGCTACTGCCCAGGCGAGCGCCTCACTCTGTCTGACTCCTCTCGCCGCGCCTCCTCTCTCCGTGCCTATTTCACCCGGAAGCGGCGCCCGCCGCCCAATCACGGCCCCGCTTCCTGCCCCGCCGTTTCCAGGCGACCCGAGCGCTGCAGCCCTCGCTGGCCAATGGGCGCGCGCGAACACCAGCGCCGTTTCTAGGCGCCCAAGCCACCACCTCTTGTGGGGGTGTCCCCCACCCCTCCCCCCACCTATCCCCACCCCACCACCCCGGCGCCGTGCCCCACCTCTCGCGATACATCCCACAAACACAGTGGGAGTAAGCCCCGCCCCTAGCCCCCCGCTCCCACCCGTGGCCCCGCCCCCTGAGAAACACCCACAGAACGGGGGGAGGGGGGGTAAACCCCCGCCCAATTAAAGCCTCCAACCCCCCTCCCCTCCACTGGCTCCGCCCATTCAAGTTACAGTACGAATAAGCCGCGCCCCCTCCCCAACCTTACCCCCCCGCAGATACCCCCCTTCGCGTGACGTCACGGAACATTTATCAATGCCTCCGAAAGACGTGACGTCATAAAGGACACGTCTTTCCCCGTGTTAACTTTGCCTTCTTGCCAGGTCGGAGGGTTTTACCTCCAGCATCCAGAGACTTCTTGGTTAACATTTAAGAGGGCATTTTTTTTTAGACTGTAAACTGAGGACAGTTGCTGGAGTATTTTTTTAAATGTGATTTACGTGTTGTTTTTATTAAGATTGTATTTTGTATGGTGATGAGAATGTTTTGATTTGAAGCTTTCGTGACTGCAGGGGTCCATAATCGTTGGTTCTTTCGGTAAAGTCACGTAGGTATAAAATAAAATAAATCACGACGTTTCGGGCGCAACACATCAGGTGGGAAAGCCTGGTCTGCTGCTGAGGCAGACTGTAATTGCCCCTTCATATTAAAACACAGCAAATGACGTTACTTTAAAGCCTATCATTTTTTTAAAGCCCCAGTGTGATCATTTGCAATGTTGTTTTTAAAACACTAAATTAAAGATGTAATTTTTTTCTCACAATGTTGTATGGTCAAAAACCCAGGCAACCCTCAAGTTTGGAGAGGCCCTCATCCAGCAGTGGATTGACAGAGTTGTATATGTACACATGGGCATAGAGACTCACCAATACATTTTGTAAGGTGCTACTGCACTGCATTGAACAGGCCCCGTGGTTCAAGTATTCGTAATGGCTCTTGCCAACAACAACATGCCACCCATCAACATTTGTTTAACAGGACGGTCCCTGCTGATAAGGCAATACAAGTCAACATTCGTCCAGCGTTTACTGCTCAAACAAATGTTTCTGCAAAACATTGGTCGAACATGCCAATTGGCCGAGAGACTCAAATATTATTTGCATTTCATTTTTTTCATCAAGACTAAAGGTTTTTTTTCCCCCGCCTTCTAGATCTGACAAGACCACACCAGCACAAATAGAGCAATACCCCGGTTTACGTCGGAGATGCGCTCCTGAAATATGCGACGATGTAAAAATCAAATAAAGTTTCCAGGGTCGGTGGAGGCGTATGCCGAGGCGATGGATACGAGAAAGGACGGATGCTTTTTTGTGTTTTAATTTTGTTGTCCTTCCGCCGTACCTCCCGATAAGCACGGTTGGCTTTGTACGATGCGAAAGAAGATCTACACCTACGTAAGTGTGGGTTGAGGCGAAGGCAAATCACCTATGTGGTACAGCAGCTTCACTTCGTCTGGATAAACTGCCATGGGCAAGCACCTATTAAGGTCAACCAGATGTATGCGGAGGGGGAAATCTTCAGGCTGTAGTTGTGTATGTTCTACCACCTTTGTTTCCCCAGTGCTGATGTTGACCATGATATCGCAAATGGTTATTTTTTGGCTGAATGACCCAAACTAAAGAAAGTCAAAGCGTGCAGTTCCAAAAACCGATTAAACTTGTAATGTGCCATTGAAAAGACCCAGATTCTAGGACTGGTCCCCAACGTGATGTTGTGTGTGTAGAAACTGACACAATTCTCTATATGAAAATGTCATTTCGGTGACCATTTATTTAATATACTCACATATGATTAAATTCCTACCACTGTCTGAGAGCCTGGTAGTTTCTACGGGTGTATTGTTAATTAAAGTATATATAAATAAGGTATAGCACTTCTTGTAAAGTGGATCACGCCATCGTGGGACCTTCTTTGCCAGTGTCAAAATATAAGATTCCTTGCAAAAGGTTTTAGTTTGGTGTTTTAACATCTTAACACCTGTTTTGTTGCCAGAAAAAGGGGAAAACATATTCTTGGATAATTTTTAAAAGTAGGCCATTGTGTTCCATTGTCATAACCCATGTCCCATACTGAAAATGTATTTGCAGCTGAATTGTAAAAATAACAATCATCCCTAGCCAGCCAGCTACAAAAGGTCTTCCTTGAAAAACAGATGCCCGGTAATCTCCCTGGACTCTCATCTGGATATGACAAATGGTCAAAAAGCTATTGTAGGAAACCAATATGTTATTGCTCCATTAGTCAACAAGTGACAATGATATTCAAGCATTTTGAGTACTGAATGCGAAATATTTTCTGAATACATTTTTTCATTACAGTGTGAGCTGCCCACTGGCTGTTTATTGTACGCCAACGGAGATTCATGCTTCCTATGGCGACTTTCCCACTCTCCCATATCAGTCATTTTCGGTTCAACATCCTCCTCCATCGAATTTCCCCAGGCTGCCTGTCACCGCCTGGCGCATGGGGCCTCATGACCATTCATTCCTTCCTCCCTCCCCTCCCTCTCAGTCAGGCCCCATGCGGTCTCCGTTCTTCCAGCACCCCACCTCGAATCCCCATCTAGAATAATCTCCGCCCATTTTTGGGCACAGCTGTTTAAATATTTCCATGCACAGTCATGCACAAGCCTGCTACATGTGACGCCAAAGCACACACAAGCAATCGGTGCAGGACATTTGCTGTCTTTATTGGAACACTTTGTTTCTCTCACTGTTTTATTTTGCGTCGTTAAAAAAGCCAGAGTTTATACTATTGTACTGTATTACAGTTCTGTACTTGCGTACACTGCGATGGTATTTTTAGGGTCGACTTGGTCTCTCGCACCTGATCACTAACTACTTCGTGGAAAGTGAACAGTGGTAGTCCTATGGATATTACTGGTCCTCGCCATGGGAATGTAGAATTTATATCACCGGCTTGGTGTCACCGATTGCGATAAGTGCCGCCCCAATGCTAGGTTGATATTTACACCGTTCGTTGCTTTTTGAGGTACATATGATTATTCATATTTGGTGAGGTGGCAGGGTGGCAGGGTGGCCCAGAGGTCAGAGCGCTAACCGGCATTGCTGAAGTCCTGGCAGCCGCCTCTGTTTAAACCGGATTTTCGAGTACAGTGAGTTAAAGGTTTGGTCACCAGTTGAAGGTCACGAGTGACTGAACAAAAAAATTATATAAAATTTGGTTCTGAACTTAATTTGGCTAAATTCCACTCACTGTACGTATTGTTCTGATTGTCCGCCTTCTGTGTAGACCAGAGGTAATTTAAAGGGATCTCAGAGGTAGCTCTGTGAAATCCGATTCCGTGGGCCATTCTCTAACATTGGTCTGTGAGATATCCGAATGAATACATTGTCTCATGTCATTATGCCGGATAGCACAATTGGGAATAACATTTCGGGAAAGGATCAATATCTCTACGTATATATTTTAACAACCAAATCTGAATTTTTCAGTGGTGGATAAGCTGTAGCATTGATTTGTGACGTTAAACGGAGGCCACGAGACGCACACAGTATCATCCTTTAGCCTGTTTTTCACGTTCAGAAAATTGTGCCTGAATATTTTGGTCTGAGTGCCACGTTGTATCAAGGCCTTTATGCAACCTGATATTTTGGGGAGGAGACAATAGCTTTATACATTTGGCTAGTGGCAAAAAGGTAAAAAATGTATGATACCAAATAAGCATATGTTCTTTTGGGACCTATTGATGTTTAGTCTGTTGAAGACCTTTAGAAATAGCCATGCCACATCAGCATGAAACTCAAATACAGTATGTGGGAAGAATATGGTTACGTGCATGCAAATGCGTTCTAAAATAACTTTGCTGCATGCAGTCTTCGCTGCACTGTGTGCTATGCATACATAGCAACTTGGATAATAAATAAAGGTAAACCATCATCAGTAATGCTTTATCCACTGCTGGTAGAAGGCCTCCCCAAGTCGTCGCCACCCCTCATGGTCTTGCGATGCAACGAGAAATGTAGCTCCTGCACATGAGCTGAGCTCATCACTCCATTTACACAGTTGTCATCCTCTCGGGCGTGTTCTCTGCTCGGATTACTATTTATAAAAAAAATGCAAGACAAAAGACTGAACAGAATAGCCACACGACTGCAACATGAGCTATTTCAGCCAAAAAATTATGACCAAGCAATAATCTGTACAGCGTTTCAGCATGTAGTCATCTTGCAATGCATGCATGCATTCATCATTATCATTGGCCATACTCCAACCACTCCTGGATGAAGGGCTGCACAAGTCACCGCCTTGCTCCATTACATGGTCTCACTATGCAACAATGAATGTATCTTCTGTGCATGAGTTGAGCTGATCGCTCCATCTCTACCGCGGTCATTCTCTCGGGCATGTCTCCTCCTTGCATTATATAAACATATACAAGTCAAAATATAGGAACATTGTGTACTGTAACGTGAGCTATTCAGCCAAAATTAATGACCAGACAATAATCAGTATGCCCTGCCAGAATGCATTAAAAATGTAAAATGGTGCTGTATAAATTAGTGCTGCGCTGGAAATTGTCATCCATCAATGTACTGTTACACGGGAGGAATACAAAAGATGTAGAAGCAAAACAATAATTCACGTAAAATTGTGGGAATTTATGGTACAAGAATACCACAGTTAAGTGCAGGGATTGAATTATAAAACCATTTTGGCTAAGTCTGTCTGCTGTGGCAAGCTTACTTGGACATATTGATTACCGTAATGACAATTGTGATGAATTGAAACTGACCAAATCTTTGTTAAATCAGCATGGTGATTTGTAATAG